GTGTTTTATTTTAAATAAAAATGTCCTCAATTTTTGCACACTTAGTTTAAAAAATATAGATATTTGAGGTAAATTATAATTAAAGTCTATGTGTGCTCACTCTGAAGGGATTAGACAATGAGTTATAGCAGTTGAGGAGAAAAAGACACCTACATTCAGATGTATAATTTATACATGTACTAGAGAAAAGTTTATATGCACTTTTTTTTAGAAAAAGTTATTGAGCAACATCATTCAATAGGGAAAGATCTCCCAAAATTATAAACCTAGACTGTGATTGCAGTTTTTTTGTGGCTCATTTAAATTTTTATTCATGTTCCCACTTGATTTTAATCTAGTTTGTATTTTGTAGTGCCTGAGCCCCAAAGAGAGCTGGGTTTTCCTCACAGTTTTTTGTCAAAATCCCCTTATTTATGGGAATATTTGTAATTTACWAATTTTATCCATATAGTATGGCATACTGCTACCAAGTCATGGCACGCTATTCCAAATTTAGCAACATGATGATTTTTTTTTTTTACAAAAGCTGCAGCTCATTACAATGGACAAACTGAACAGAATAATAAGGGTGTTTCAATACAGAGTCTGTATAAAATGAGCTGAGTAAGTCAAACAGTAAGTCTTTGGGATTGTAATACTTAAGTGTWAATTACCGTTAATGTTTGTGTGTTTTTCTTCCTTCAGGTGTGTGTGTCCTGGCTGCAGCCTGGCTTGTGCTGTGGACCCGATGAAGAACCCAGAAGCTGCACAGAGCCTTCGGCTGGTGGGCCTGCTGGAGGCCGCTCTGCTGCGAGAGGCTCGTCTCTGGAAGGTTCCGGTCTTCAAAAATGGATGCGTTCAGGTGAGACGGTGACGGCTGCATGTGCAGGATAAACCTAGGTTGCTTAAATGTTGAAAATATTTTAAAATTCTAGAAATTAGACATTTATCACTATTCATAGAAATAAGTAAGTGTGCTTGTAAGAGCCAGTGGGTAAATATCTGCTGTCCCGTTACAGAGGAGATCCAGTAGTCTTGAGTAGTACAACACTGGCTCCAGGAAGCCCAATTTCTTAGATTATTCATTTCACTTATCTGTAAGGGTTTTTCATAAAAGAGTTAAAACTGTTTGAATTTGATCGATACAGGGCACTGACATCTCTTCAGTCCAACACCAGCAAGTGATCCGCTGGCTTGGAGAAATGAGCAGGATGTTCCAGTTTTGTCCAGAGACTTATGCACTGGGAGTGTGTGTCCTCAACAGACTGTTGTCCACTGTCAAGGTAGACCACTGCATCAGCACTACTGTTGTTTAAATTTATACACTTTAGTCTTAAAGTCACCGAACATTTGAAAATGCTTTTGCAATGATTTTTAATGAATTAAATAGATTTTTCTTGCACTTTGGACGAGCTTAAATTATAATTTTTTTTTCCTCAAGGCTCAATCAAAATACCTGAAATGTATTGCTTTTACCTCGCTGGTCCTGGCTGCCAAAGTCAATGAGGAAGATGAGGTAATGTCTGGTTTTTTTTTTTTTTCTTTTTTAGGAATCCCAAACAACAGATATAAAAGGACAAAAACACACGTTTTACTGCTTTTTCAAAAACATAGTTTTATTTGGCCTCTTGTCTGTAACAGGTTGTGGGTTCTGTTAAAGACCTGGTTGTTCGGAGTGGATGCAACTTTTCGACAGCGGAGATTCTTCGCATGGAGAGGATCATTCTGGACAAGCTGCACTGGGACTTATACACAGCAACACCAGTTGACTTCATTCACATTGTAAGTTTACAGCTCAGCAGAAAGGCRAACGCAACACAATTTATTTTTTTTTTCTTACAGAACCTAAAGCATGTCAAAGCGAGCTCGCTGGGTTTTGAAACACTTTAGATTCTAGTCTTTGCATAAAAACACAAGCAGTACAAAAGCACATGTGATAAAACATCATGCTTCAAGATTAGAAACTCCGAACATCATCCCTCTGTCCCGCACACTTACAGGTACTCATTGCAAATTATGAATTTATTTAAAAAAAAGGTAAAGTTATACTGAACTACATGAGATGGTGCCATTTGGAAGAGTTTACTCCAGTAGTGATCCAGACAGATTGATATAGAGTTCTGAAAATGTGGGTCTACACTCAATGTAAACAAAACATTCTGCAAAAGCTGCTGGAAGCTTTAAAGTGCCTGTGACATGCATATCCTTTAACTACAAAAAAATCAAAGAAAGCATCTTTATATTTAAGAAGCTTTACATAATACACATGATTTTACATATTTTGTCACACAACAGGTATTTTCTTTCTTTTAGCCAAAGCGAAACAGGAAGTGACATCAGCGTGGAGCTTCTTAAAACAGAAAACGCTGTAGTCTTTTGTCGAAACGGTATTATTTTAACTCTGACCCTTCATCTGTCTGATAGTGACTCGTAATCCAAAGAAACATTCGATTCTTCTCTTCAGCCTGTGTTGGCTGTTTGTAGCAAAGCTCTGTTCACATCCAGACATTCCTCTGACATCACTTCCTGCAGCTGCACATGCAGATATCCCAACAACTGTTCATTCCAGCAGTGTGAAGTTTGTTTTGCAACATGGTTTTTAAGGATATCTTTGCAAAAGTGCATTCATACGTATTACAAAAATTTGATGTCACAGGCGTTTTAATGATGTTATTGTGGACAAGGCTTCAGTCACTTTTGACTGTTYCTGTAGGTAAACAAATGGCAGCTGTTCACACGTTTTGCTTACAAATGAAAGGAAATTTGGACAGATTTTGTTTTTATTGTACTTTAGGAACCAGTTTTCATGACATTGCAATGAGTACCCTTTTTAAGAATTGGTCCAAGAATATGTTGTGCATTTATTTGATTTAATTCACTGTGCCCATAATTATTAAACTCCACCCAGTTCACTTGTGCAATTAAGTTTTAATTATCTCCACAGCCAGGGTCTTAGTTTTGAATTTTGCTCTCTAATCCAGTGGATCAACACTGCTGTTTGGCAATCAGAATATTCAATATTATTTTAAGCAAAAGTGGGGGAAAAAATGTTGGTTTCAGCTTCTCAAGTGCAAAATAATTGGTGCTTTTCTTTGAGGTGCATGACTTGAAAGTTTTAGAATTGAAAAAGAAAATATATTTTGAGTTATTCAGTTGAAAATCTCATTTTAAATAAATGAACAATTGTCACTTTGTTGCAGAAATGCTCATTTCCAGAGCGAATCAAATTATCCTAAAGCAACATGTTTGAACAGAATCTTTGATTGTAACCAAACAAGTTGCATTTCAACCTAGAAATGCAACAAACAAAACATAATATAGAATCATTCTAACATCATGGGACTCTTTGCAAGCTGCTAGCAAAATGTGTGTTGTTAACCAAACCAAGGCACTTCAAGCAGAAACGTAAACCCTGATGACACCAAGTGGAGTGTTTGACGATCTAACATTGTTTAGGATGATTAAATCTCTTAGATTGTTGAGCTGAAAATGATTTCATTGTTCATAAAGCCCAAGCAGTATTGTTCAGTTTACTGTTTGGATCTGTGCACAACAGTGTAATTACTAAACCCTCAAAAATCGCGAGCTAAAACACTAACCACTGATTGGATTGCCAACAAATGAACACACACGACACCATTTAGGTCCCAGCATGCACTTGGGCGTGGAGCTGTATTCATAATGCTTTTAATCAGAAGCCAGGATGTGTTGGAGTAGATGATCTGCCAAGGCCGTTTGGCTTGAATCATTAGTTTGAGTGGAAAGCTTCAGAATAAAACAGATCTGTGAAAATGAACAGCGAATGATGGTTAGACAAAGCTTTATGTACTATAAAAACACAAATATCTCGTCTGTTTTCTGTTAGCGGAGTGCATCTACACAGTCTTTAAATGAGTATAAACAGGTTGTGAACCAGCTGCTGGATGCTTTATGAATACAGCCCACAGGTTTCTGGAAAAATACACACACAGTGAGTCACATATAAATGGGAGTTTCCTCCACTACAAAATCCAGTTCCCACTGTTTGGAAAATGATCTTTAGAACACAGAGTTGGCTTTAAAGTTTTCTTCTTAACCCTCTTATTTACACTGCATCAGGCTCCGTCGTGCACGTTGCTGTCATTGGTTTCCACTCTGATTTACACTGCGTGCGGCTCGGCTCACGTGCTCTGAGAAGCACGTGCAGGAAATGCAAGATCATGCAATAAAGCTGGTGATAAATGTGGAAGTCAGACCAAATGAAATCTTTCTGTGAACGGCAGACTTGAAACAACTCTCAAAACTGCATCGCAGTTTTTTTTTATTTGTATTTCAAAATAAAATCCACACCTTTTTGTCTGTATGCATATGTTGCCATGTGCTTCCCAAACAGAATGATCAAATTTGATAGCATGTTTGTAGAAATACATCAATATATTTATCAGTATGGCTAGCAGGGGTCGACATAACCGTTGTTTAGGTTGTCCGAGACGACATATTTTCCTTTCGGACAACCAGATCCTGTCTCCCAGTTGTCCGGTGGACAACCAAGAAAAAAGCAGCGGATGTTCATCATTGTMAAAATGAACGGGTGAAAAAAAACTTGTTAAAGCCGTTTAGGGATTAAACTGAYDGTTCTTTCACCCAATAAAGAGAACCACAGTCAGTTTTACCCAATCAGAACAGAGCAGGGCGGGTCCTGCTGTCTGACTGACACCGCTGCCTTTTTTCTTTCTCTGTGGGTGGGGGGTCAGCTTCACTCAGTCCAGGAAAMGCTGAGGGTTTTCCCGGGRGGTGTTCGCCTGAGCTATTTTCCACCGAGAATTACGTCGTATTTTATATGTTCTCTTTTTAAAAGCACCTCGCAGCATTTCTCCTGTAACACTGTGTGTTTACAAGCACAGCAAAACCGCGACAGATCTGACTGGTTGAGCGAGGGCTGAGAGGCAGTTTGACCGCAGCCGCAGCACCTCTTCACGCGCACCACGGCCCTGACCGGCCCGGGACTTAAGATTCCATAAGTCAACCCCTTCACATATTTATGTGTATAATGAGCATCACAAATTGGTAAATTTAGCAAAAAATTTGTATTAATCACGCGAGTGGTGCGCAAGCGAACCACTGCGAGGGGGGGGCGTGTCTACATTTGACTTTGATTTTCCTCTAAAATCACGGAGTTCTCTGAGTCAGCTTCAGGTGCTTGTAGTTAATCATAATATCTTCTAAATTTAACCAGGGGTTTCAATGCCTTTACATTACACAACAATTGTAGTGGAGAAACTTGTCAGTTTGGTTAAAAAAACAGTAAAAATAAATTGTTTTTTCTATGCAGAGAACTTCTTGTTATATATTTTTAATAAATACATCAGTTGAAAACACTAAAATGACAGAAGAGCTGTTTAAATCCCCTTTATCCAGAAAGTCTCAGTCCTAAGAACACTAAACTGTAGCTTTTAATAAGGTCATATAGACAGTAGGCTATACTACAATTTAAATAAAAATGTTTGACCTGTAAGCAGGAAGTTTATGGTTGTTGGATGTTGATTTTTGCTCTCTATTTCAAAGAGGATGAGGAGTTTTACTCAAGCAGCTCCTGAAACTGTTAACTTGCTGACTGAGAACATTTGTTTACAGTAACTTTGTATACAGAACAATATAGCCTACCTGTTATATTACATTTTAATTGAGTTTTTTTTTTTTTTTCTTGGACAACCAAAATGTTTTGCAGACAACCAGATTTCGTCAACAGGTTGTTTGCTGGACAACCTGAAAAAAAATCCTTATGTCTACCCCTGGCTAGGATTTGTCTTTCAGTGACTTATTTTAGATACGGATGTTGTGCTTATTTCTTTTTCTGTTGGTGATGTGTGATTTCTGTAGCCATCTGGCAAAAATAGGATTGATTCTGATTTTGACGGATGGCTGTGATGCTGCTGCCTTGTGCCGCCRTGCAGATGCAGTGTAAATGCTCTCATTGATTTATAATGCGTGTTTTTACTGCAGAGGTTGGAGCGGACGCAGTGTAAATTGGGCTTTAGTCTCKTTTCCAACCACCTACATTCCCTCGTGAAGCAACATCAATATATTTGTCTCTTTAAAACCTTTTTAAAGCCAAAACCTATAACTGTTACTGAAAGGCAAAATCCTCTCCCATTTCAAACTGTACCTCTCTGTTACAGTCTGAGGATCTGATTTAGATTGAAGTCACAGGAGTGCAGTTTATCTATTATAATTAGGTAATATCACTTCAGCTGTTACAAAATCCAAGACTTTTAAAATAAAAATACATCATGTAAGAATAAAACTATAATAAAATAAAGACATTTTTTTCTTTATAATATTCAAATAAATATATTTCAATAACTTTACTGTAAATATTTCACAATTATACGATGTATACATCTGCCCTGAAAAAGGATATTTTGCATTCTCTTTTGAAGTTCTTTATCTACAGAACAGATTTTTCCACAGACTCTTCACTGTGACACTTTTTATACGAATAACTAAGGATTTACAGAGATTATCCATCGATACTCCTCAGAGTAATTCTGCATCTGAGTAAAACTGAGAGGTACAGTCAGCTGTGCAATGCTACCGGTTCTCCACATTAGGCTGATTGTAAGTTCACAAATCACTTGTTTTGTTGCGTTAGCCTAATATTTCCTCAACATATATGTTTTTCAAGAGTACATTTCTGACTCTGGCACCATAGTGCTGAATCTACCTCCCAGTACAACCCCACTTTTTCTTCAACACATGGCTTATTTTCTGCGAGACAAACTAAAGCACATAAATGAAACACAATATACATGAATAAACAAAACCTCTGCAACAAACCAGAAAAATGCACAGATTGTGAATTTCTTCACCAGCTGCTTGTCAGTAGCTCACTGTTTGTCGTGTAAACCAAAGGCTGCTGTAGCCTGAGTCAGCTGAGCCCATCCAAGTAGTGATGTGGATGTTTGTCACCAAAATAACGAAACGGCTGAGCTCCCACACAGGTTTGATACGTTCTGCACACAAATGAGAACACAAACAAGACACAAACATGGTGATCATCAGGGGTAGACACAACCATTGTTTAGGTTGTCCGAGACAACCTATTTTCATTTCGGACAACCAGATCCTGTCTCCTGGTTGTCCGRTGGACAACCAAGAAAAAAAAGACATTGATTAAAGTTCTCTGAGTGTCCGTCGTTTGTAAAAATGAAAGGGAGAAAAAAACTTGGTAAAACCAAACAGAACACTAAACTGTAACTTTTAATAAGGTCATGTACACAGTATTCTCCTATTTAAGTGAAAATGTTTGACCTATGAGCAGAAAGTTTTTGATGCTTTACTCCCTGAGCCTTAAATACTCTTATTTCAAGAAGAGAATGAGGAAGTTTTATTCAAGATGATCCTGTACACTTGGCTGACTGAGARCAATTATATRTAATAAACTTTGTCTACAGAACAATATACTTGTTAAATTACATTTTTCTTGAGATTGTTTTGCGGACAACCAGGTTTTGTCAACAGGCTGTCCGCTGGACAACCTGAAAAATATCCTTATGTCTACCCCTGATCATAAGACTGGTTTTCTGAGAGCAAATTATGGAGCTCTTATTATGGCAACAAACACTTTGGGAAAGATTAGGTAATTACCAACAGATGATGTCATGAATGACTGTTTTGTCATGTTAAAGTTGGTGTGTGTTAAATATGAATGTTAAATATAGATGACAGATGGACAATAAAAACRGTGACATCATTATGCTAAAATTTTGGCCTCTTCTCATTTTTTGTTTTTCGCTCTCCTCTAGTTCCACGCCCTGCTCGTCTCCGGCCACCCCAGCCTCGTTCCGTCCATCAGTCTCGGCTGCGGCGTCGACTCCATCGCGGACCCCCRCATGCTCCCTGTTGATCCCAGGCATCAGAAGAGGCCCCCGGGCCTCCAGGTGTCGCTGTGGACCAGGCAGGTGCAGCACTGTATGGCCTGCCACCAGCTCTGGCAGTTCAAAGGCTCCACGTTGGCCTTGGCCATCATCACTTTGGAGCTGGAGGCGCTCACGCCCGACTGGTTCGCTGTCTTCACCGACCTACTGAAGAAAGCACACGTAAGAGATGGGCTCAGGCCAGCTGGAAGGCTTTCCAACTCGCTTCATGATCAGTGCTCGTTAGGAAGAATCTACCAAGCTTAATTAAAAAAAAAGACATTTTCAAAGTTTAGTAGTGTTCATTAAATATAAAAAAGGTATTATTCAACGAATAAAAATTCAACCAAAATGACATTTTACCATAATGCTGATACATGTGACCCGTCACATCAAGCTGAGGATTAGGATGTGGAGAATTAGGCAGATATAGTTTAAACATTAAAATTAAACATTTGCAAACGTTGCATTTTGTCAAAATATAATAAATTTATCTACAGGTTGTTTTAAATATGTGCAATATAATTTTAAATGTTTTTGGAGACTTTTTTTTTTTTTTGGAGCTGTAGCTAMAAAAAAAAAACCCATCATTTTGAGCAAAACCGCCTTAAATTTTTGTCATTTTACCCTGCGACCTATTACAGGGCTTTTTCTTTCCTTCCAACTGGTAAATCTTAATATCCAAATATTGTTAGCGGTTTCTACTACAAAGAGACATCAAAAATCCCTCACTAACTTAAAGGGGCAATATTATGTGTTTCTCAGGCATACATTTAAATACTAGATATAGCATCTATGTCACCTTTAGCTGTTATTAAATTGTTTTTTTATGTTTACATAAAAAATAAACTTATCTTCTCATCACTTTCTCTTTTAAATGCCTTGAAATTGGCCTCTGTCTCTTTAAGAACCACCTTCCGCTTCTGTCCTGCCCATTTCAGTGTTGGGGGGTCATGCTCACGGGGGGAGGGGGGCTGCTATGATGCAGTATACTTGACATCTGAGAATACATTTCCTCAAAGGTAATTTTAATCTGAAAAGAGCTTCACTGAGTGAGAAGTAGTGTTGAGAGCTCAGCAGACAGTTAAGTTTCACTTTCACCTGAGAGCCTGCAGGAGTCATGGGCTGGGTGTGTGGGGTGCTCCATGATGAGGAAGTTCAACTTAAAGACACGTCCCTGGTGCCGTTTCTAGTCCCCACCTGTCGTTTTGCTCCTCAGCATGACTTCCTAAAAACGCTGCAGGATTTCTCAAACATGCATGAATGAGTCAAAGCAAGGCTTTGGGCATGTTTTTTATGAGTATAATATAATAACATAATATAAAACTCAAAAGTTGATTTTTTTTTTTTTACATGATACTGCCCCTTTTTAAATAAGATTTGTTGATTCAATCCTCAGTTTAGTGTGATGGGATACATATTTGGAAAAAATACTTTTTAAAGGCACGTGTTGGCACATTTCAGTATCTTTTCTGATTTCCTAATTTAAGAACAGGTTTTTCATTAAGGATGTTACTTAAAAGAAATAGGAGTTTTAAATATTAATGCCAGTTTACAAACCTTGACGATTCATTTTAGTAGTTTGAGTCAAATGCTTGCCTTTGAAAAGTTGGACCCAGTGTTTTGATTCAGTCGACCTCATTTTACTTTTTGTTTCTCCCAGATCGATAGTGTCAAGTTCATCCACTGTAAAGAGATCGTGGACGAGTACCTACACAGTCTGGAGTTCGCYCTGCCGAACAACTCTGTCTACATCCTCGACGGCTGTCAGATTCAGGGGCAGCAAGTCCAGAGCCCCTCGCTGTGCCACGGGCTGGCCAGAAGGGGGCGCAGCGGCAGCGAACAAGACTTGGATGACTACTGTGATGGTTTTAGACGTCTGTATAGAGAGGAGACGCATCCAGAGGAGGGTCTGTTTGCATCGGAGCAAAAAGGCGTCTCCCCGTGTCCTCCGCTGCACCCTGCTGTCAACTAGCAGGAAGTCTCTGAGCAATAAATGCACAGCTGGATCATGTGAACTCGTGTATCCAGAGGATTTTAAAGCAGTTGGTCATGAGATTACTTTTTTTTTTCCTTTTCAAGTTTTCACCCATCTGAAACGGTTCAGTAATAAAAGCTTTTTTTATGTTTGTAACGTATCTTGGTGCTCAGGTTCCTCCTCAGAGCCACAAAGCACTTTAAGAGACTAGCTTTTTGAGAAGGAAAAAAAACCTTTTTTATTCTTTGTAATTTCTACTAAACGTTTTAGTTAAGTGTTTTTATTTACCACTTATTTACAAAAGCTTTACTCTTCTGACTAAATGATGCAAATGTTTTTATTCTGTACTTCAGTGTGTTTTTTACTTTATGCAACTATGCTTACATATCAAAGCACCTTTGGGAGATTAGTTCAACACTAGAGCAGAATAGCTAAATGTGTTTAAAATTGTGAAATTAGCATTCGTAATGGCATTATTTTTTAGGATTTCYAATTAAAATGTTCATGAGCACAAATAATGTGACTGGAAATTTGGGAAAAGCATCCTGTTTTTATTTCCTAACTAATCACTGGCTGTGATTATCCAGTGCTGCCAGTTTACTTAGTGAAAGGTACAAATGTGGTCATTTAGGCAGTATTTGATGTTGGCTGATGGTTATGCAGTAAGTTCAGAGGTTCTGAAGGCCAAAGGACACTGAAGAGCCTCAGCAATAATTGTTTCTAATGTGAACTGGTTACTGACAGCGTTTAATAAGCTGGACCAAGCTGCTCAGTGACTAAAATAAGGTATTGTTTCATGTTATTCCTTCCCTTTTCCTTCATCTACTAAGGCAGCTATTCCATAAGTTTTCATTTTTGATCCCAGAAATAAAGCTACAGCTTCCAAAGTATTCAGTCTTTGCTGATTTGCGAATCTTGGTTTGAGGGGGGATCTTAAGCTCGGACCCTGAAAGTAATCATAACGAACTATAATCAAAGTTGTTTGTTTTTGAAAGCTTTTTTTAAGTGAGCTGTCTCAGTTTCAAACGTGTCCAGGCTGACTGATTCTACCCCAGCATGTACTTCCTGCAGAGAGAATGTTTGTTATTCTGCAACACCGAAAGGAACAGATCAGGGAAATTTCAGTAAACCTTTTAAAAAAAAACAGGCTCCTGCTTCTGTCTTTTTTTGCCAGTTTACATGTAATGCTATTTTAAGAGTTCTCAGATTATAATGAAACATTTTAAGTATTTGCAAATTTCTGATGCTTGTCATATTTGTGTAAAATAGTAAAACATGATTTTCGTGTCTCCTAAATATGCTCAAAGGAGCTTCTGAAMCAGACTTAACGAAAAGTTAAATTGTTTTAAAAACTCTCTTCATTGCCATTCTTCAAATAATTCAAAACCAGTTTCCTAACGATTTGAGGTGTTAAAGTATTCAAAAAGTTTAGGAAGTGTAATAACCTTCATTTTCTTTATAACAATGTGCAACCTGGATTTTCATCGAGCTAATTGAGTTCAGAATCGTTTTTAAGAAAAAGCTAATTTCCCAAATTGTTGAAGGACTTCAACCTGAGTATTTTTTCCTTTTCAAAGCTGTGAAGCTGAAATCCATCACAGCATTTAGAAACGAGCAGCAGCTGTTGCAGCATCCTGTCAGAAAGTGATTATCATTCAGCTGTGTTAGCGYGGCGTGTTGGTGTTAAAGGACAGAACACAGAGCTCTGAACATATTGTGCTGCTGGATGAGATCCAGTGAGCCCCGCAGGTGGTGCACAGAATAGTAATGATGTTGGCAAAGTCCTTACAAAAAAAACCCCTTAAAAACAAAAGATGAAGATGCACATTTAACTTTGGCCKTATGTGAAGGGTCACAGATGCAAGCTGCTGAATGTAAAAGGAAAGAAATCGTCTGATTAAAGTACAGTGGGGAAAATAAGTATTTAGTCAGTCACCAGGTGTGCAAGTTCTCCCACTTAAAAAGATGAGAGAGGCCTGTAATTGACATCATAGGTAGACCTCAACTATGAGAGACAAAATGTGAAAAACAATTTGAGAAAATCATTTTGTCTGACTTTTAAAGAATTTTTTTGCAAATAATGGTGGAAAATAAGTATTTGGTCAATAACAAAAGTTCATCTCAATACTTTGTTGTATATCAGGGGTGTCAAACTCCAGTCCTCGAGGGCCGCTATCCTGCATGTTTTAGAGGTTTTCCAGCTC